GCCCGGCGTGAGTTTAAGTCACCGGGTCTGGGACTCGAACCGCGGTTGACCACATTGGAGTCTAGCAACATAACCATTATGCTAACTGCTGGTCCCATCACTTGGTCAGTATTTTAGGCTTGCAAAGGCCTCCAAGGGCTAGGATTTGAACTGCTTTTGGCCACGTGGGATCAAGCTTTCTGTGCAAAGTACTTAACCACTGTGCTACAGTGCGGCCCAGTTTCCAACACTTGAAACAGATCAGCTGTTCACCTGTGACAGTCGGGGCACTGCTGGGGCCCTGAAAACAAGGCTGAGAAGAATCACATAATCTCTTTCTTCCAAAGCTCCCATCCGGGAGGATAAAACAGGCTCTCCCAGAGCAAACATCAGGAACTTGTAGATTGAACATTTGATACAATGTAATTTAAGAGGTGGCCACTCAGCTAGGCCTTGAAGGAAAAGGGACACACTGGACACAGGCAGGCTGCAGAGATGAGGAAGGGAGCAGCAGGTAACCCACGCCCCTTTCCCCATCAACTCGCAGGTCTATCCCACTAACCACAGCAGGCATAAGTGCCAGCAGCTCCGGGTTCACAAGAGCAACCTACCCAGCAGCCTCTCCCCCTGGGCTGGGTTCACCATGTTCTTGGGTCATTGGTGATCCGGTCGAGGACCTGGGGTACTGGGTGATGCCTCTGTCCTTGTTCTCAAGACAAGTCATTTCACCCTTTGGACTTCAGACCGCTGCTCTGTGAGATGAAGACAGCATTCTGCCACACGTGGTTACCAGGGCTCAAGGAACCGGGGGAGCAGGTGGTGAACTCAGAAGAGCTGGTTAGCTGGGTAACAGGCACACTTATGAGGTCCAGAAATGCAGGAGTCAAGGGTGGCTCTTTCAGGAGTGGGAGGGTGGGGATGTACGTCTTCCTCTGTCCCTAAAGGACTAGGCAATATATGTACCCACTCACCAGCCTCAGGAACAAAGCTGCCAGTCACAAGGGAGCCTAGGCACGAGGAGGGGTAGAGGATTTGGTGCCATTTCATCCTTCCTACTATGTTCAGACATGCCTCAGGCAGGCCCTCAGCATCAAAGGGCCTTCCCTAACTCAGTGAGGGGCTGGGCTAGTGCCCCTTCTGCCACGCCCTCTGTCGAGCACGCGTCATACCAACTTATAATGACAGTTTAGCAGACTATAAGCTATTTAGGAGCAGAGCTTTGTTTTATATGTCTGTTTTCTACTAAAGAATGCTTAGCACGCAGTAGACCTCCAGGTATTTATCCCATGACCAGACGGATGCAGGAGCCTTCCAGGTTGCCAATCTGCCCAGATTGCTGTTGTCTGGCCCTCTTGCTCGGCTTTGCAAGTGAGAGCCAAGAATCTCCCGGTCTATTCGCGGTCTGCCGCAACTGCCAAGCCCACTCCCTGGTGGTCACCCTGACCTGAGCAGCGCAAGTGCCAGCAGCTTCCCTGGTCTTCTTTGCTAGCCTCAACTTTTTTTCTAGGTCCCTAAAGGTACCCTTTTCATTGCAGTTTCAAACAACAAAACACATCATTGAATGACACTAAAATAAGCAGATCACTCCAGGGAGAAGGGGAAAAGCAGCAAGAAAAACCCCACCCCATGAGTAAACACAGCCGATTATGTGAATGCTGGCTGCCTGGCATGGCGCGGGAAGGGCATTCTGCCATTAACGGGGCCCAGAGAACAGACCCCTCGACTGAGGGGTCTCTGTCTTCAAGGCTCTACCTCTGCTGGGTAGTTTCCCCACTGGCCACCACTCTCTGCCCCTGTTCCCCAGTCGTCTATTCAAAGTATCCCCTGATTAGGCTCCTTCCTCCATGTCCCTGAGGACCAGAGCTGGAACCCCCTGCTGGCCTGTGACTGTGAGCACATCATAGCCACTTGGGCTGAACCTTGTTTCTGTCACTCGCAAACAAAAACCAATGGCGCCTCACAAGGCTATCCCGAGGATTACAGAAATAAAATACAGAACTCTCTGGCATGTGGTTGGACTGTGCGTGTCTTTCTGCCTCCCTGCAGTGAGTCCTAGGACTTCATTACCTTAGCACTCATCTTCAAATGCCACTTAGACTTTCTCATCCTAGAAGCAGGGCTCAGTCAGTGGACAGTTTCCAGTGTTGTCCCCCATTCGAATGGCTCTGGCAGGTGGTCAGAGCTAAGAACTCAGAGGCATTTCTCCTGCCCAGCAGTGGGGCTGGCCTCCCCAGCTCACACTTTCTTTAATCAGACCATTCAGGCATTTGCCTTGGACTTGAAGTGACCCCCCCATTCCTCTATACTTCCTGCTACTTGCTGCACCTTCGAAGCCTCCTCTCTTTGCCTATGCCCCTACCTTCCACAAATGCCACCTCCAGGCCTGCTGGGTACCTTCCTCTCAGGGTCCATAAGTACTCACAACCACACTGTGGTTGCAGTCCGACCCCTGACAGCGACACTCAGGCAGGTAGAGGCCCTGCTGATGCTCTTATCTAAGTCTTTGCTGCTGGAAATACTGGGTTGTTGGAAAAGTCATGACATATTTCTTCTGGTTTTTTTTGTTTGTTTGTTTTAATGCAAAAATGCATCACGACTTTTCCGATGACCCAATAGCAGGTACTAGCTGAGTTGACGGAGAAACTCCAAGAGTGTCATTCAAAGCCTTCCCTTCTCCAATGACCCAAGTCTCTACACATAAACCATCCCTCAGTCTGCCCCATCCGGCTTCACTGTAGCCAGACTCACTGGAACAAAGGAAACTCTCTCCCTCGGGGCGAAAGGAAGGAGGAAGGATCTAATTTAATGGCCACGGAAGGTGGCTTGCCAGCTGGACTAGCAGAGGGGTCAGGGAGCCCAGTGGCACAGACAGGATCAGAAGCTGCTGCTTCCCGGGGGCGGTCTCCCACCTTAGACCCCCAGCCCCAGGCCCACACAGTACTCAACTCCCACTGTGACGGCTCTTTTTTCCTGACAACCAAACCTCTTTCTTTGCTTTTCTTCCAGGGGCAAAAAATTCTCACTTCTGCGCTGGAGTCTCTGAGAAACTGCCCATTCCAGTTTACTTCTCCAACTCCGAAACCTCTCTCAGAGAGGGAGGTCCTGTCACTCTCTTATCACAGGGGTACACAACCTGGACCCCGAAATTGTAACTAGGCTTGCTCCCCTCAAACTCCTTGCTTAAGCCTACTGCATCGTTACCGCAGACAGTGGGGCAGGGTAGCACAGTAGTTAAGAGCGAGGACTTTGGTGTTTGGATTTTGGCTCGGTCACCAACTAGCCATGTGACCTTAGACAAGTAACTGAACTGTCCTCAATCCTGATTTCTTTTCCTCCAGAAATAAGGAGAATACCTATCTCATCCTGTTGTGAAAAATGAATGAGAAAATGCAGGTAAATCATTCTGAGCCTGGGGCTGGCACACAGTAAGTGCTAAATAAATGGAGGCTTTGTTAGTATTACTTCAGGAGACCTGACTCCTGACCCCAGCCTGCTGCTCAGCATGGCCGCCCACTCCCCTCTCCCCTCCTCCCTGCTCAGGATTGCCCTTTTCCTCTGCAGAATGCAATAAACAAAGAAAGCTAAGTCAGACAAAGAGAAATTATTTACGGAGGTAGAATCAGGGACAGGGAAAATTTAACTCTTTCTCAGCGACCCCAGCTAGCCAGCTACCAAGATCACCCTCCCAGGAAGAGGAGCCTGCCATTGGTCTTTCTAGCTTACTTTTCCCTCTTCAGCCCTGTTCAACCTGCAGGGGAAACAATTTTAATCACACTCAGGAGTTGCTGTGTAGTCTGTATTAACTAACCTCGGGGTAGAGGAATCAGACTTAGCGAGTAAAAATACAGAATGTCCAGGGGCCAGCAAGTGGCATGAACGTTAAGGCTCTGGATTCCCACGTGGCCAACCATGATTCAAGTCCTGGACCCTGCAGCTTGAAAATCATGCCCAGCCAGCTTGAAAAATCACATCAGGTGGTACATATGTGCCCAAAATCCCAAGAGGAGAATGAAGAAGAGATCGTGGCATGGCCATTCCTCCTAGAGGGTAATTTCTCACTTTCTCTCTCTGTCTCTCTTCTCCCTCTCTCTGTCTCTCCAGCAAGAATATGTGCCCTAAGACAACATCTAAAGCAGACAGACAGACAAACAAACAAACAAAAACCCCCAAAATAGGACATCCCATTAAATCTGAATTTTAGGTAACAATAACTTTTCAGAATGTCCTATGCAATATTTGGAATAAAATAATCCTGAAAAGTTATTTGTTATTGATGTGAGGTTTAAATTGAACGGGGTGTCCTATATTTTATCTGGAAACTCTACCCAGGGACTCCTACCAGGAGGCAGGAAGTAAAGATTGAAGTCTTCCGCCTGTTCCCCTTTCAACTCCCAAGCAGAGCGAAGTACTAAGCAAGGGCTTTCTCCAGAGCCACCCAACCCTGACCTGCCTTACCCAAGTGCCCAGTGTCGTGCCTAGCACATAGCAGGTGATCAAAATACACTCTCTTACTCATTCCAAGCTGCTTGGGCTCCAGCACTGGGCCCCTGAGGGGTGTGAGAGAGGGCCAGGCCAGCACTTCAGAAGCATGCCCTAGAGGGCAGGTCACACCTCCTACTTTCTGAGGTTATTTTGAAGATCAAATGGGAAAGTGGCCAGGCATGTGTTTTATACAACCCTGGCCAAGACATGTGTTATATTAAGACCTTGGGGGGTCCAGTGGACCACAGGGACTCACTGCCACTTGCCTAGGGAGAGGGCCAGGACAGCCGAGCAGGAACACAGAGCAAAGCTAGTACCTCTGAGTACTCCAATATAGATTACTGACACCTGTCCAGCACCTTGTAATTTGCCACGTGGGTCCCATCCATCCTCTCCAGAGGCCTCACCACAGCCCCACTAGGTGAGGACGGGTTCAGGCCCATTTACTGGAGGATGGTCAGGGCGCCTGCCCCAAGGCCCTCCCTGGGAAGTAGGGTCTGGTCCCAGGGGCCAGGGCGGAGTCCCTCGGCCGGGCCTACCTTCTGGGCCTGTTGGATCATCTGCCTGACCACCTGCTTGAGGTGCGGAGCCTTCTCCTCCTTGGGGGGGTGGGTGAAGAGGGTGACACGGCTCACGCCGCGGTAGAAGCCGCTGTCCGTCCAGCCTAGGTCCAGCGGGGGCACCTCGGTGTCGGAGAGCTCGGGCCAGTAGGCCAGGGACTCGCTGGGCTCGGCGGGGGCAGGCTCGGCGGCCTTGGCCTTGGCCTTGCCCTTGCCCCGGGCTGGGGCGGCGGGGGCGGGGTCCTCGTAGGGGCTCCAGGCGGCGCGCAGGGCCTGGCGCTCCCGGCTGGACAGGAAATCCCGCAGCTGCTCC